TTGGTCAGAAATGGATCAAAAGCCTCCCTCCTCGTCCCTCTCTGACTTCTGCAGATTGTCGCCCTTTCATCTGGGGATGTAGTTTAGGGTTAAATCAATGTTTTCGGGGGTAAATTGGTCAATTTCAGTCCAGCATCAGATGGACCGTCTGCTTCATTATGCCAGATGACGTGGTCTGCAGAGTGTGGTGCCGCCGCACCCCCGTAATAAACCTCCACATACACAACTCCGTTTGCTCCAAGCAATCCATCTCGACAACAACCGGCTGCTTTCCACTTTGATCAGCTTTAAATAAAAACACCACCAGTCTTTTCTATACGAGGAGCATCTGCAGGAGCAGAAACAAAACAAAGACACTCAACGTCTGTTGGCGCGTCGGTGACAAAAGCAGTTCTAGTTCCAGTGATCTGACTCCTCGGAGAAAACCTATGGATGTTTCCTTGTTGGGGCAGAAATCAATATATCGTAGCCAAGTCTAAGAAGAAGCTGGTGTCACATTTACAAACAGACAGAAACAGAACTGCAGCAGTGGCCAACATGATGCTGGAGGCCAAACACTTGGCTCATATTGACTATGTTTACAGTAGTAGTCCCAGTTACAGAGCTGCTGTGAGGAACAGACAGACGATTCCATGCAGGTTTTCATCCAGGTGAAGCTGCTGCTCCTGACACTGAGTTCTAATGGAGCTAAAGCTAGTTAGGCAACGCTAGTCCACAAAGTCACGTCCATTTCTCCTCAAACACTTGGATGAAGACAAAGTGCTGTTTTAAAAAAACTATAGCTTCAGTGCATGACTTCCTTCTCCCCCAACTGAATTCTGGGTAATTATCATAACAATGGCCATGATACAAGATCTATACTTGATCTTTTCCTAGACTAGTTTTCTACACAAACTGTTTATTCTTTTAAAATCCCAAACTCGAGTTTTTCGATGGCAGAGGAGAATTTAATTTTAATTATTATTTCAGATTATTTACTTGTGTGTACAGACACACAAGTAAATATAAATATTGCAAAACAGCTGTGTAGGTCTCACCCAGATGAACATTTTTTTAATTTGACATTTGTCAAATAACACACCCCCCCCCCCCCCCACTCACAGGTGTTTCTGTACTCCAAAATAAATGTGCATCCATGAAGCAAAACACTACAAACACTACAAACACTACAACATTAGACATTGTGCTTGGAATGGTCGAAATGTGTTGTTTGCACTGAAATAATTTAAATATTAAGTTGTACAACTCACAAATGTTTGTATATATTTCTGTGTCTCTACATTAAGTGAAAATCTTCAGGTCAAACGCAGAAAGAAAACCAAACACGTTCATAGGTTCATGAGAAATCAGAAGATCAAGATAAAACCCAACCTGGATCTGTATACCAACAACGGCAGTTTAAGACAGCACCATGTTGGTGGGGGGGGGGTTTCAGTGCTCAGGGCAACTGCCTGCTTACGGCAGTGGAAACATCCCTGTAGTCAAAGGGCTGCAGTGTGTATCGATGCAGAACAGAACCCTAACCTGCCCACACTGTGACAATCTCCTGTGCAGATCATTCAAAGGTTGCCTGGCCGTCTGTGGGACGGGCACGTCCCCGGGGAGCAATTGAAGACCTGAGTGGGAGGACATGAAAGAGGGACAGGACCCTGTGGGCAAGAGCCCAAACCTGGACACAGCTGGCTGTTCTCTCACACACACACACAGAACCTCGCCTGTTTGAAGGGAAACAACAGAAGCCACATTGATTCCGTTTGCATCTTTCACCTCTGGAGCTCAAAACCATTAGGATCAGCACCTGCACACGTGTAGGAGCAGAGTTTCTTATAAATATCCACTAAAGCCTTGGTCGGATCGCTGTAAAAGCGGGAAGACACGGTCAGGGAGGAACATGTTCAATTTGATAGAGTGCAAAACCATGTAGTGGCAAAAGAACAGGCCACGTCCGTGCTTGTTCTCTGATCGCATTTGGTGCATATAAACAGGAGCAACCAGCATCCGCTAGGTGGCGACATTGCTCTGATGCGGCTCAGGCTGGGACATCACTGCGCTTCAGTGGAGTCATATGGACACAGGGGCAGCTCGGTGTGAGAGCAGAGGACGAGCAGTGATGTCGTTCACTGTAGTTCATTTGTATTTTTGTGTTTAAATAAAACATTTATTTTTTTAATGCCGTCCTTTAAATTTGGACAAACCAAAAAATACACCCGTTTGCACAGTATCATATGGTGTCTAACTTTCACTACAAACTAATGACCTCACCCTCCACAAGGTCGTCGTCTTTACCGGAGATAAAAGCAGTTATTTTCAGCTGCGACTACAGTGTCAATAGTTCGGAGATAAAAGCAGTTATTTTCAGCTGAGACTACAGTGTCAATAGTTTTTTTTTTGGGTTTTTTTTTACGACTTCCCCGCGCATTTGGCCTCAGCGTCCAAGCTTGTGAATACAAAAAGAAAGAGTTGCTGGTGGGTGGAAGAGGGTGGGGGTGTAAATGAATATGTGCCCCCCTTCCCAACTATCACACCCCCCTTCCTTTTTCTTTTTCTCTTTCTTTTTGGATTTTGACGGCACCGCGCGTCAGAGCGCACCGACTCTGTAGACCCGCCCCCGGCTGTGGAGCGCTCGGCGCGTCACTCTCTCTCCTTCTCTCCCTGTGTCCGCTTCAAACCCATATTCCACAGGGAACGAGACACACATACACACGCGCTCAGACTGAGAGAGAGAGAGAGAGAGAAAGAGAGATAGAGAGTGTGTGTGTGTGTGGAAGAGAGAGAGTGAGAAAGAGAGAGAGAGTGTGTGTGATTTGGAGCTGGGAGAAGAGCAGCAGAAGACACAGAGGAGAGGAAAAACGGAACAACAAAGAGCCAAATGGCACTCATGGCAGGGATTTTATTCACGGTCGCTTCACTTGTTTTTTGGATTGCTACTTTTGTTTCAGCCGCTAGGATATACCCCCCAAACGAAGGTAAGGACCCGGGGACCGCTGCGGCAGCCACTCTACTGGACTGTACTTGCAATAGAATTGGCTGCGGGCTTTGCGCAGCGCAGCGCCGCACCGTGTGGACAGCCTGGCCGCGCCGCGCGCTGGTTGCGAGTTCGTGGATGAGTGTGTAAAGATGGGGAAACAACGACGACCTTGACGGTCGATATCGTGTCTTAAACAGGGGAGCTGGGAATGCCACTGTCCCAGTACAGACGCCACCAGTTAGGGCTTGGATCGTGCAGAACGCCGAGGAATACTTGTTGTTGTCCGGGGGTTGCGCGCTGTCCTGGGAGGCTCACGGTGCTCCGTGCTCCTCTTTAAAACATCCAACCAAAAAATAAATATCTATACAAATAAAATTAAATCCGCAACGATCACTTCCTTTAAAACATCCAACCAAAAAATAAATGAAAAAAAATCTACACAAATAAAATTATCATCCGCAACACTTGTTCAACTGTCCTGTTAAGTTTAGGTGGAAAACGACTACTGGAAATTAAATCTCAAACTTGTCTTAACCTGCAGAAGTACGCGCAGTATGCGCCAGAATATTTCAGTGTAATACATATTTAATAAATATGCGCATTTTTTATTTTTCTTAGGCATAAAAAAACCCCCAAAATTACCAAAAAAAGTCCCTATTTGTGCGGCCACCACTTCACGGGCTCCGAGGTGTATCATCATCATCATCATCATCATCACAGTGACATTTTAATGCGAAATACGTCATGAAAAGCTGATATATTAGGAGTATTTATAGTTATATTTTAATTATGGATTTATTTCACATTATTTCCCGAAGCACCAGCGCCTCCGTCCGTCTGTGTCGGACTGTGTTTACCAAAAAATAAGTTCGTAAAAATGATGTACGAAGAACGTGATAACGACTAAATGTTCGTATCTGAGCAGAATTGAAGAATTAAAATGAAATATCAGCGTCAATCACTGCAGACGTGGACATTACACTATCATATGTTTTAATTTATTTTTTTTAGTACTTCCACATTTAACACGTTACTGGAAGCTGCATTTCTTCATTTCTGTCTCTTTTAATTAACGTATTGTTGTTTTCCAAGTTTAAACGCACACACACACACACACACAGTCCACGGTTTCTCCCTTCAGCAGATTCCAATCTCATCATACATAAAGCCGCTGCTAATGCTGCCGAGCCAAGTGAAAATCATTACAATGACACTGGGTGAATGCATTCGTCATGCTTAAAAATACATTTTTTTTCTCCCTCAACCAAAAACCGACCCGTGCGTCACCCGTGAAGCCCAACGGTTCATTAACACAATTGTAATTGTTGTCATTTTTCGTGTGTGTCAGACTATTTAGGCTGATAATTGTGAGACTTTAATATCTGATCCATCTTTTCGTAGTTCAAAACAGCTTCAAAATTCATTTTTGCTTTGGTTTATCAATGCTAACTCTCACCTCTCCTCCTCTTGTTTTCCAGTCACGTTGTTGGACTCCAGATCTGTGCAGGGGGAGCTGGGATGGGTCGCCAGTCCCACGGAAGGAGGGGTGAGTAGGCTTCTGCAAAATAAGTGTCCCCCCTCGTTGGGCTGCATGATCCCCCTGTTGAGTACAAAATGGAGGGACGTTATATATTTTATATTGGCATGAGCTCAATAAGTGCATAACAGTTAGACAAACTTCTGTGATAAGAATTCCGTCCTGGTGAGCTCCTACAGAAACGTCTTTGTCCATGATTTGTTGTGCGGCCGTCTGCCACGAAGGGATATTGGACTCAGGCGGAGATCAAGGCCAAAATCAGATACCGAAATTCGGATCAATTAGAATGGGCAGTTTGCTGTTTATTCAGAGACTCTTTGGATCACCTTGCATGGCCTCGTGGGGTCCCATGGAATTCAGTTTGAGAACCACCAGGCCTATAGGCACCCCTCCTTGATTTCCCCTTCTCTCCAACCACTCTGTAATGGTCAGATGCTGGGGCCGATACTGTGGCGGGCGTCAGGTTTCCTGAATAGACGGTGGATTGAATCAGTCTTTGTGGAGAAACTTCATATCCCTTTCCACCATTGAGTCGTAGAAGAGAGGGGGCAGAGAAAAGGGGAAAGAGGGGGACTTGGCAGCAGAGTGAGGGTCTTCAGAAACAGATGAATGAGGGGGAAAGTGCTGCGGGGTTCAGTCCCTGCCGCAGGATGATTGGATTGGGGCTGTAGAGCGACGGCGAATTGGGTTGGCAAAATGTACAATCTCTCAGTTTCGGTGGGATTCAAACAGCGGGGTATGGAAAGAATAGGAACCGCTGTGAGTCGGATCTTTAAGGGAGAGGTGAGATTTATATCATGCCTCATCTGGCACAGTCAGATCAGATAAAAACATAAATACGATCCCAAAAGCACAGACATTAAGTCGAGGATGATGAGTTAATCCCATCAGAATAGCAGTGAATGTGGAAAATTGGCACAGAGACATGAAGCTGCCCAGCTTGCCAGCATACAGTCCCAGTAATTTGTTTATAAATGCCACAAGGGGGAGCTGGCATATTTTCAACCATCTCAGACCCTCATAGTTTAAATTGATCATTAAGATTCTGTACAAAAGCATTTTCAAACCAAACTGTAGAACAACGTACTTTGGTTGAGTTTTACAGCCATTTTGATGATTTTGATCAAATCAATGATCATTTGGGCCAGGTAATCCAAACTAGGTTTTTTTTTAAAGAATATTCTGTCATGCCGCCGTTGAAGCCAGTGTTGACCTTAACGTTTAAATGCCTGCTAAATGCCAGTTAGTCAACAGCGAGCGACTGTTGTTCTTCCTGCAGAAACGACACGGGGACAATCAAAAGCCCTTTAATATTTCATGAAGATTACTGCAAATTAGCAACGGTAATGCCCGCTAATGAATATGAACCCAGGGGGAACTGAATTTCATCTTGTGCACATGTTGCTCACAAGCCTTTTCAACAATAAACTTGGCTGGTGCCGAGCTCGCGTTCTCCCCTCGGTTGTGTTGCTGCAAACAAATGATTGACGGGGTCCTGGCAGCCCCGTCAGGCCTGCATTCACCCTCTCATTAGAACCAATTGCCCTTATTCTTCCTTCTCCCTGCTATCAGGGGAAGGTGCGGCCTTATCTGAGCCCCGCTTGATTTCCACAACAAAAGGGGCTGAGGCAACGGGAAGCAGAGTGGAATGGGAGCAGCGGGGGAATGATAGACATCTGCTGAAATCGTACGGCTGCAGCTACGTCTTACATTTCCCCACTCTTCTCCAGGGAAATAAAGCTTGAAAGGCAGATTGTTTATGATAAGGCATCGAATCAGACCTGGCAGCCTAATAGTATTATTATTGTTATTTTTTTTTGTTTAGAATTCTAGACGTCTAGAGCTATAGCAGTCTAAGGCCTGTCTGCCCTTGTTTACAGTCTCAGGCTCTGTTTAAAGCGCACAGGAAAAAGACAACATGGCTTTGAACCTCTTAATACAGCCTTGTACTTGGTCGTCGCTGGAGCGGCAGAACTTTATCACAAGTAAAACAAACATGTCTCCCTGCAAAAATAAGCCAGGCCACACCGGATAACGTAATCCATGTGCCTGATGTCAGCCCCTCTCTCCCTCTCCTTCCCTCTCCACACAAGTACGTACATGCTAACAACAGCGGTGAACGCAAGTGCCGTCTCCCTCTCCTGGTCCTGTATGCAGATGTAAAGCAGGCACACGTTAGATCATCAACGGTGATTGTTAGTCCTTTATGTTTTAGATTTGCACAGACCCCCAGCTCCTATTCTACTCTATTCATCTTTATCTTTTCTGCGGTGTGTGTGTGTGTCTGTGTGGGTGTGTAGAGGATTTCATCTCGACCGGTGTGTGTGTGTGTGTAGAGGATTTCATCTCGACCCAACAGTAATTGAACTGTAGGCATTACGTATGCATGGAACCAATTACAATTTTTCTTTCTTGCACTTGAGGTGAAATCATGAATATTAATATTTATCTGCTTCTGTATAAGAACCCCAACAGGTCTATTAGATGCCACTGATAAAATATGCATTGAGTTTATTTATCAATTAATTGTTCTGGTCAGACTCAAATATTGACTTTTATATTCAAAGGGCAGTCTGGGCAGTGACTTTTGTTTATGTAACTCAGTCATAATGGTTTGAATACGATTTTACGAGGACTTTTCGATTGCAGAGAGCCTTTCTAGAACATTACCAATGCTAATCTGGGTCACATTTTTAAGGGGAGACGGAGCTGAATGGCAGAGGCTGCATTGGTGCAACGACATATTAGCATGCTAATCAATGTATTCAAGATCACACAGCATAAGAAACTGAAGACAAAATACTTTGTAGTTCAAAGTCACAAAACCATCAAACTGTGTTGTATCTCATTATGGATCAATTTGTTTCTTAAACTTATCTTTGTTTGTTTTTTTATGAGCCAACAGTAACCTGTAACCATGTTGTTATCTCTCAACAGTGGGAGGAGGTGAGCATTATGGATGAGAAAAACATTCCCATTCGAACGTACCAGGTGTGTAATGTCATGGAGCCAAACCAGAACAACTGGCTCCGCACCGACTGGATTCCCCGTGGTGGTGCCCAGCGAGTCTACATAGAGATCAAGTTCACCCTCCGAGACTGCAACAGCCTGCCAGGGGTCATGGGAACCTGCAAGGAAACCTTTAACCTTTACTACTACGAGTCCAACAATGACAAAGAGCGCTATATCCGTGAGAACCAGTTCGCCAAGATCGACACCATTGCCGCGGACGAGAGCTTCACACAGGTGGACATTGGCGATCGCATCATGAAGCTGAACACGGAGGTGCGAGACGTTGGCGCCTTGACCAGGAAGGGCTTCTATTTGGCCTTTCAGGACGTCGGAGCGTGCATTGCCCTCGTGTCTGTCCGGGTTTTCTACAAGAAATGCCCTCTAGCGGTGCGCAACCTGGCCCAGTTTCCAGACACCATCACTGGGGCAGATACGTCCTCGCTTGTGGAAGTTCGTGGCTCCTGCGTGGATAATTCCGAGGAAAAGGAGGTCCCAAAGATGTACTGTGGGGCTGACGGAGAGTGGTTGGTCCCCATTGGGAACTGTCTGTGTAACCCTGGATATGAAGAGCGCAACACAGAATGCCAAGGTAAGAAAGTCATATTTGTCTTGTGGGGATTTTTTAGGGCTGACTGGCTGTTTTTTCGGCCGGATCCCTCACTATTTATAGAACACTCTGTCTTTTCTGACACTGCCTCCCCCTGTACTGCACCTTACTTCTTTTTTATCGCTCCCCCTCCTCTCCCTCTGTCTCCCCATTTTTATGCCTGTTTCACTCTCTTTGTCCTCTCCCCCTTCCTGCACCCCCCCGCCCACCTTCTCCACACACTGTTGGATATTTTCTGTCTTCTCCCATTTTCTGCTAGCCAGTGTCTAGCCGGGTGATAGAAGCGATGATGATTGTAAATGGAGTAATTAGTGGACCCGCTGGGAGGTTGTTGTGCAGTGGGGTGCATCCCTGGAGAATTGGTGACACCAGGAGGGGAGAGTTGAGCTCCAACTGATTCTCACTGACACTGTCTTTCTTTTCACCCCCACCTGCTTTTTTTCCTCTTATTCCCGGCGGAGCCTGAAGCTGGGGAAAGGAGATAGACAGCTTTATAGGACGGTAAATAGAGCGAGAGAGTTTATCATTCTGGGCAGGTATGAGCGAAGTGAAAATACACAGCTGTGAGACGGTGTTGGAACAGTGTTATTTGGTAGGGAGGGAGGGAACGGCCCTTTGTGGACAATTATTCCAGTCTTGGCTTACAGTGATTCCATACCAAGCTGTTAGATGAGGGTTTGAAGGTCGGTGTACTATTACTTCTTCTGGATTTTATAAATCAGAAGCAACTCATACACTTAAACGCATTTTTAGATCCAAACTATAGAGTAGACAATTAATACCCGGGGCATGAAGCCCAGGGGGATTTTTTTTATATATATTCTGCTAAGTTTCTCATTTTGATTGACTCTACTAATTTTACCTGAGTTGTTTAATAGCTAGCTGTAGATTTTAGTTTATGGCAGGCAGTAATGTACAGTGGATGGCCTCCAGCAGTACTCAGCTGCTGCATTCAGCCAAAGCAGGGGTGTAGTGGTCCGCTGGCCAGACGAGTGGATGCTAATTCTGCCAGGAATGGTTTGTTCACCTACCACCGCTCAGCACCACCACACACAAAAAGCAGCAAGGGGTCATAGGCTGGGCACGGGTGATTAACAGTGGGACGGCCTCACTTCACTTCTCCTAATTTACAAGGGACCCTTTATCTTGGAGCACTAATTGCATGACAAACAGGTCCAGTGATTTAAGGGTGCTACTGGCTGCCGGGGGTTTGGGGAGACGAGGGGGCACGAGTGGACACAGATGGGTTTTAGGGCGCCTCGCCCGTACTACCTATTGAGGCATGGTAGCATCGTGATTGTTGAGCAATTAAGGTTAAAGGTGTTGGTTGGACTGTTGGACCCCAGGAATATCAGGGGTTAGGGTTGAATCATTAATCGGTTCCAATCCTGTTGGAGATCATCTTGTATTTGTTATATAAAAAAAAAAGTATATGTTTTGAACTCACAGCTAATAGAACAAAGTGATCCAACATGGTGGCCCCCACTTAGAGGCCCTGCTCCTGGGCTTAATTCCATTCTGGAGCAATGAAAAACAGTATATAGTTCAAGTTAAAGGCCTCAGAAGGAAATACTTTATTTTTAGTTGATGTCCATAGAAATGGAATGTAAATCGATTTTCCCTAAGTCTGAAACAGTGACCCCCCCCACCCCCACCCCACCCAAAAAAAAACACATACACTTATTACATTTATTATGTGACCATTACATGCCGGTGTAAAAAGAAAGTTATTATTTTCAAATGGTTCATATTTGCCAATCTGGTCGTTAGAGTGGGATTCAAACTCTGGGTCAGGGGCTAAATCTACATACATATATGACCATTTTTATGTAAAAATGCATCAATTCTTCCCCGGCCCACCGTTACCCTCCACACTACCCCGACAGTTTAATACGCTGCTGGCTTCACCTTCTGTTTAAGGGCTTAAAATTCAACTACAAACCATGAACACAAACCTGTGTGTGTCTGTCTGTGTGTGTGTGTGTGCTTCACAAATTTCTCTTGGGCGTCTCATTACAAAACTCCTTGTTCTTACTGTTCACCATTGCTGGGTTTTATTTTTTAAAACTAAGCAAAGAACTGCAGAGGAGAGCTGTTCCCTCAACATCAGCACCAGAACATTCTGCTGTTCTGCCACAGTTATTTTTAATTATAATAGATACTGATTATCTCTGATCAGAAGCCAAAGTACTCACCTGCATGTAGATTGTTTGGATTCTTGATTCCTAAATGTAGTAGCACGGCCGCAGCTTGGGTTGTGATTTAAGGATTCCTGTTCGTCTATCGTGGCTGTCACTGAGCTCAGATGGCTGCGGCCTGGGTTTGGTCCTTAGGGTCGGCTTCAAAGAAACACAGAGAGAAACGGAGGGATGATTGAAGGAGACCAGAAGGTACTTAGTTACAGACTTGAACTAAATCTCCCCAGGACCGGCAATCTGTCTTGCTGTTTACTCTTAACAACCTCTCATTTCAACCCTGATCTCATGCTGTATATCATAACTTTAATTTGCCAGCACCGATGAAATAGACTCTTTATCTCTGCTTTAATTCTACTTAAGATAAATAGCCGTTCGTCTGCAGAGGAGGCAATAAAGGATTTGGAAACTCCTGACAGTTATATGACTAATGCAGTCTCGCAGCGCCTGCCAGCGCCTGAGCTGGCAGTATTGCATTTCTAGCCAATATATCCATTTAGTTCACATATCACCGCATCTGCTTTGCTGTGTTTAACTTTACAGCGCCAGTACATCCATTCTATACACCGTGCGCTCCCTTTACATTCTTTTATAAGTTAAACATTTTTGCTGCCTTCTCGTGACGTGCATCAGAGCGGATGCTGCGCGGCAGCCTGAGGCGTCACAGTGGGTCGGCCTCAGTGACTTGAAGGTTAAAGGGTCAGCGTTCACGTGTGCTAATCAGCTGCTTGGTGTTCCTCAGTGTGACAGGCTCTGAGAGGGCGACACTTCTGGGTTTTAACGCAATAAACCAATGCACCAGAGGGTAATAGTTAAGGCATTTTTGGGAAAAATTTGTTTCTGATGTTGGCGTTCTGCTAGACAGACTGTAGAGTCGGTTCCTTTACTTCACCAAAGGCCTTAGAGAAAACCTGAGGTTTCTGCTTGTGGGATAGCATAGGGGTTGTTTATCGTCTTCTGTCTCCATCAGTTAAGTCTTAATTTGTTGTTTTGTGACATCATTGTTTGGATTTACCCAAGCGACTTCAATTTCATCCAATGAGACACCAGTAGACCATCAGCTTTCATGCCCCTGTGAGCTGGAATCACTGATTCAACCGACGTAGAGGAAGGTTGAATTAAATATAAACTGTCTAATGGTGACGCAGATTGAATCTCATGATTTTTTTTTTCTTAAAAGAAATCAATAGGTAGAACTTTAAATCAGATGAACTTTTCATTTAAATGAATTTAAAACATTTGTTTTTCCATTTTTTGCTTTAACCTCTGGATAGTAGGATGAGCTGAGTCCTGATCTTTTTACTCTGTATGGACTGATGTGTTTTAAAAAAGCTCTGCTGCAGTGAACACAGGCCAGTTCTAGTGTGTGTGTGTGTGTGTGTGTGTGTTCACTCTCTTGTGCTTGTCTTGTCTTGTGTGTGTGGGGGGTTACGAGGGCACCCTGGTCCCTGTTTCCCAGCGTAGGATGAATGGGCTCTCCTCCATCATTGTTCAGGACAGCATAGGAGCCGACTGAGGCTGGTGATGTTTGGGGGGAGGTCATCTTACTGCCGTGTCTGTCAGGGTCGTGGATCCAGGATTGATGAAGACGTCAGAGATTTGACAGCTGTGGCTGCGGTGTGTGTTAGCGTCTGGGCTCGACGTGGGTCAGGGTTGGCTTGGGTGTTCACTCAGGGCCAAGGCAAGAGAGACGACTGGGGCACCGAGGGCCAAAGGGTGGAGGGTGGCGGGGGCAGATCTAAGGGACAGAGGACTGTGTGTTTGCATTTGGGATCCCTTTCCCTGTTAACCAAATCCCACAGGGAACAGTAGGAAGGGGTTTTAGGGTCAGGGTGTCTCCCCGCTCCTCATCTGGTGAGAGTGGTCCTACTGTTGGAGGGCTGTTGATGAGATAATAAAGAGGCAGACAAATAAGAACCAAATGTCATGACTGAAAGCTGATGTCTCTCAGTTCTTGCTCAGTTGTTTAAAAACTTTTTTTTTGGATAAAGAAAACTGATTTGGTTTCTTCATCCTGTTGTAAAAACTCTGGATAACATGGTATAACAAGGTGACATTTTAGTTTGATTTTGTCTGGAGGAAAAAAAATGGTTGAATTCAACTATCACTGTAATTATTTAATCGTATAGAAAAATGTCATTTTTTATATAATAATAATAATAATAATAATAATAATATGAGGTTTCACACAATCTGGACCATATTATCATGACCTTTAAAATATAAGTGTCACTTTTATTCTATGGACGGTGGTAAATATTCATAATTTTTGACATCTAATCTGACATTTGCATCATTTTCTGGTCCTTTAGTTTTTTTCTGTCCGTGTCCTCGGCGTCTTCTAATGACCTGTTGCTTTAACCCAATCACTCCTCATGAGCTCTCCTCCTCCTCCTCCTCCTCCTTATTTTTGAACTCAAATTTTCTATCCATTTTTTTTCACCCATTATTCACTCTCTCCTCTGTCATCTCTTCACCCTTCTCCCGTATGCGTGCGGCCGCTCTTGTGGTTAGTGTTAGTGTGAGTCTGTCTCCGGTGGCAGCAGCAGGAAGTGGGCTGAATAATGAGATTACCGTCACTGTTAGGAGAAAGACAGAGCCTGTTTGGTGCTCGGCCCCACTGTCACCACTCATTATTTTCCCCACTAACAAACAGGTAACACACGTGCACATACACACAGCACATATCACACATGTACGAATCCAGCAGGAACAAGCGGTAAACGGCGCCCGGGGCGATACATGGAGATCCATGCCAAAACAACAGCCTTCTGTTCGCTTCCAAGAACTGTGATCCAGCACCTACAGTGTGTCTTAATCTACTCCACTGACTCACAGCCCGCTCGGCCTCCGCCTCTCTGACCAACCATACAATGACGACAGTCAACAGTAGGCTGTCCTTAACCACAGAAAACCAAATATTGATATTCAGTGATCATGAAAATAACAAGCTACAGATTTCAGTTCCATCCTGTGCCGTGGAGAGCTGAGTCCGACTGGTACTGCAGGACTGCTGAGGAAAAAGCAGCTTAAGTCATTTACTCATGTACAGAGGCTCATTTATAAATATGTAGAGCAACTGCACTCACACTCTCTCTCACACACACACACATATATATACACTCAAAGTGGAGAAAAGCGCAGCAGAATAGAGGTGAATGTACTCATCACTCTCCCCGCCACCAGAGAGTCTCATTTTGTGCTGCTGAATAGAGAGGAGAAAACTCTTAGCAACAACGAGACAGACACAGACACACACACACACACACACACACACACACACAGAGTGACAGAAAAGGACAAAATGTTTTATGACCAATCCTCACCGTATCCTTCCTTTTCCAGTTGAAATAATTGCTTAAAACTTCCATTATTATTTTTTTTATTTTTTTATCCTCTATTAGCCCTCTCAACATTCTCCCCTGGCTGGATGGATGGATGGAGGCAGCAGGGGAGGAGGGTAATTCAGCCATCATTAGCAGAGGTGCTGAAATGCTTTTCCTGGCTGCGCCGTCGTCCTGCCTCACTGTTAGTTCCTTTTCAGTTCTCCACACTCATCACCTCCTCTGTCTGTGTCCTCGCGCGGCTCTGTTAAAGGCAGGAAGCCACAGATGATAGAGTTTGACTGAGCTGATAAGGCTGCCGGCCTCGCAGCGCTCTGGACACTGGGCACAGACGCTACTGAATGACTGCATTGTTGTTCTCTCTCTTTTTAAGAATCGAGTTTTAGTTTTGGTTAAGTGTGTTCTTTGTAGAGTTTTGTTAACCCGTGGTGACCAGGCTCTAAATATGGACAGAAATCAACAGGTCGGCTTCAAGTAAGAAGAGGTGATCATTATGGGAATGAGAATATTAGTGATACACTGTGTATGACAGTTGTATTTTTATAATCTAAATGTAGTGATTAATAGGTGCCAATTATTATTATTATTATTATTATTATTATTATTATTATACTGCAAAGGTTTCCTTTCCAGGCTCGTTTTGTTCTTTATTTTCTCATTTATTTTTCCTCCCCCCCCCCCCCCCCCTCCCGCTCCTTCTCTCCCCCATTGCTGTCCTTTCCTCTTATTCTCTGTCATCTTCTGTCCTTTCCTTGCCTCTCCTGTCCTCTTCTTTCGGTTCCTCTCCTCTCCTTTTTCAAAAAGCATCCTCTCTTTGATGCCTGCGCTGGGAAGAGGGAGTGATTAAAGCAGTCAGCATGCAAATTAGCATGTCAAAAGGCCCTGAATCAATACCCCGGCTCTCTACCAACACAACCCTGCAGTCCTCTAACCCCCTACTCCTGCCCCTCTCCCACTATATGTACCCCCCGCCATTCCTTCGGCTGTTCCCCTTCTTCTCCCTCCATTTTCTCCTGCTCTCTCTCTCTCTCTCTCTCTCTTGGCCCCTGGTTTGCTTTCACTCACTTAAAACTTTTTTCCCCCCTCTTTTCCTTTAAAACCTCTGTTCTGAGAGGGAAAATGTGAGAGGAGGAAGCAGGTTTTGTCAAGAGAGATGGACGGATGTATGGGCAGAGAAAGACGAATAGCCAGTGTGAAAGCGAGAGAGAAGTGGATAGCGATCAAGAGGGCACGGACGGACTGGGTTAGAGAGAGAGAGAGAGGTGTGTTACGAAAGAGAACGAGGGCCTCTGCCACTTTCTTTGTGCCGAAAGAGGCAGAGGAGACCTCTCCCTCCGTGAACAGAGGAGACAGAGGAGGAAAATTCAGACAAAAACACAGGTTGGGGGGGGGGGGCAGTGAAATGGAATGAGATTTGGTCCCAGTCTGAAAAAAACAAACAGGTTTTTTCTCCACTTCATCCATTGCTACGTCGTACCTTTGATCACGTATTTATTGCGAAAGCTGCGTGTCTACGTGTGCGTCGGGATAAAATATCAGCACCATCGTCGAGCCGCTGTTTATTCTGTGCGTGCGTCGTGACAGCCGTATCATGTGTTGTATCATAAACTTGTATTAACGCTGCTATCTGGTGCTGCGATCTGAGCTCTCAGACAATGCATCCCAGCGGCTCTGCAGATGGATGCCAGTTTCCCTCTCTGCTATCTGACAATGGGAGTCTGATTGCAAACACCTTGGACATGCTTTATCTCTGCCTAACTCTTTCTGCCTGACGATTTATACCCCCAGCTTCCTCTCCCTCTCTCCTGCCGGCCTGATAGTAGGTGGTCCTTTCTTCTCCTGCTTTTTCATCATATGTTTACTGCGGGGGGTACCGAGTTCAGGGGCCAAATCAAAGGCTGTCGGACCGGCCAAGTCGTAATCAGTTACACTGGGTTATGACAAAAAAGCCCTGAAATAAAAAGAGGCTGCTCTGCAATCTGATTGGCCCTGACCGCAGACACGGTGTCCATTTTAATGAGCTGAGAACCCCCTCTGCTAATAACTGAGGTCTGGGAAATCTTACACCGGATTGAATCGAGTACATCATCTATGCCAGGTTGGTTTTTAAAAGTGAAGTTAAAGAAGTAGACGACCTGGAGATCCAGGAGACTAACATTTGGTCTGTACGAGGAAGGTAAAAAAGTCA